TTAAACTATTTTTCAAATATAAAATTAATTTTTTTTGGGGGGGGGGAAGGGGGAGGGGTTGATTTTGGGGTAGGAGGGTAGAGAAAAAATAAAATGTTTTTTTTTAAAAAAGAAATTTTTAAAATTTTAATTTTATTTTGAATGCATTGGTTAGAGTACGGGGCGGGGTGAGGAAAAAATTGTAATAGTAGGTTGGAGGAGTGTTTTGGAAAATATTTTTCTTAATTTTTGAATGTAAGTCATATTTCTAAAATTTGAGAAAAATAAATTAATAAACTAGATTTTATCATGAAAATAAATTGATAAACTAGATTTTACCACGACCCATTTATTACCCAATCAATTTTTACCCATATCAAATATAGACAAGTTGAATTATTACCCATTTTATATGTATTCATTTTCAATCGGTCCACATTTGACCCAACCCTTCCATTTGCCACCACTAATTATGATCATGATAATTAGTAAGTTAGTTCTGCCTTAAAAATCAACTATAAGTTTATTTTTCTCAATTACATACATGTATTTCTTTTTCAGTTTGGAGCTACTAAGAAAGCAAAAAAGGTGAGAAAAGATATTCGATAAAAAATGAATAAAAGGTGAGAAAAGGTATTCGATAAAAGTGAATTATAATTTGTAATTGTCACTCCTACTATATGTACTTCTTTGTAATTTACGTCTTATTCTATATATATTTTTTATAATCTACACCCAAGTTTACTTGCAAGATCATTAAAAAAAAATCTTGTTTTGAAAGTTTTTAGGATGATAAAATAGAAAAGTTACAAGTATTATTGTACAACAAAAAGAAAAATTATATCCTGAAAACATGAAAAAAAGAGAGTAATGACTATGATGTGGTGCAGTGGATGTCTGGATGCGAAAGCTCCTTATTTAATCATATATCTAAGTGTGAATTTGAATCTTGAGTATATTAAAGTCTTTCGTAGGAAGTGCTACCTTCAAATGCGACATATTCAAAGAAAATCTGAATTAATCAAGCTCAAATGCGAGTACCAATAAAAATAAAAAGTAATGATAATTCTAAAAAATTGTTCTTTCGGCTCGTACTATCAATAATATAAATGCAAGAAAAACTGAAATATCTACATAGAATAAGATCATTAACACGGAGAGAATTCTTTAATTCTAGATCTCGGATTTACCTTATATACTCCATTCATTTTAATTTATTTGTCTAGTTTAACTTGACACGTAATTTAAAAAAATAATTTTTGAATTTTATGATTTTGAAACTAAAAGTATGTAGAATATATTAAAATATGTCTTTTAATCTTGTTATTTTAAACATGACATGAAAAAATAAAATCAAGAGTAGGCATAAAGAGAAAAGAAAGCAAGACAAATAAACATATTATTTAGGAGTACATAAACATATCAATACATGCCCAATGCTTACAAAATCTTATAAATTCACACATATCAATACATGCCCAATGCTTACAAAATCTTATAAATTCACTCAAACACCCATAATCCACAACATAAATCTCAACATTCTAAAAATAATTTGCATATGGAGAAGCAAATTCAAGAAACTCTTCATCGCGCTCAAATACAGACATGTCTTGTTCATCCAACACGACGAATGCTTCAACGCCATCGTCTTTGTAGTTCATCAAATTGAACAACTTATTGTATGGACCAGTAGCTATGGTTGCAGCCATTGGCTTGCCCCAACCAAAATCGACGTCATAGAATGGAAATTTACACACACTACTACAAGTATACTCATCAAATTCCTTCTTCTTGGGTGGCAACCCTTTAGCTAATTCAAGAATCTCCAATGCCCATGCATTTTCTTTGATATTATCTCTAGTCCTAAATAGTAGTTTTTCCTCCCTCATGAGACTAACTATTTGTGGTAAGTTCATGTCTGCTTCGTTGGAAATATGTGTCGAAAAGTGAGACAGAACATTGCCAATAGAGTTAGGAGGTAACTTTGGTGAAATCATTCCGCGTAAATCTGCATATTGGATCAATTTAGAAGGGACAAAGGAGCCAGAGTTCGCGGTCACTGCTTTAGCAACACATTTGAAAAGAAGTGCACTAAGGACTTCAGTAGGTGTAGGATCTTTCACTTGTGAGACACTAGCAATAGAGGACCTAAGTTCACTCACTTTTGATGAGGAAAAAACATACCTCTTTTGTGTACATCCATCTAATATTGATGGAACAACAGGGGAATCCAGAGGACCAGTTGGTGGTGATGGAAAAATAGTGTCACTTATATAGTAAGGTGGAGTTATTTTTGCATTTGGATCGCGTGTTAATTTAGCCCAATCGATCAAGAATTGTAAACCATTACACGCGTCTCCAATCTTGTGTGACAAACATGTACTCACTGCAATTCCTCCACAATCGAAATGTGTTAATTGAATCACAGCCAAACCATACTCCGAATCGTTCTCCCAAGCTACACCATGAGGGAAGATCAAATCTTTGACATGACAATCTTTGTCATTGAGAACTTGAGACATTGGTGCATCAATATGGACATTCAAGAACTCAACGCCTTTGTCATTACAATCGATCACCGCGTTATCTTTCATGTGTCCTGCATATGGATAATAGGAGACTAAATTTTTGGAGAGGGAGTTTTCAAGAAGTTTTGATGTTTGAGAAGGTTGATTAGAAAGTGCACCTAGTTGATTGTTGGAATAGAAAAAACCAAAGGGTACATAAGTGTGTGTTTGAGCTTGTTCAATGAGAGAAAATTTGTGCCATTTTTGAGTTAAAGGGGTTGGAGAAGAAGGTTTAATGAGTTTCTTGGAAGCTCTTGATAGAATTTTTAATGCAGGTGATGCCATTTTTTTTAGATGTGGTGTTATCAAATTCTTGACACTAAAATTTATTATAAAGAAGATGTATGCACTACATAATAAAAACAAACTACATTATTAACATAGAAAATATTATTCTTATGACCAAACAAAGACAAAAATAAACCATTATTAAAAATGTTATCCTGGGAAATGATTGCCTATCTTTCATTTATTTGAGGAAGAATACAAAATACTCTCTTCCATTTACTTGCCAAATACTTTATTTATTCCATATTAATTTAATTTGTGAGTATTTTTTTCCGCAACAAATTAGAAACTAGAAAGTGATAGAAAATAAATTACAATCACAAATAAAATATAAAAAAAATATAATTTTATTGATAAAAAATGTGGGTACAAATCTGTTTGTTCCCTTAATTCTCCTTTCAAAATTTCTCTGTGGTTGGAGAGTTGTTAGTGAAGTAGTATGTTGGGTATGTAACATGAGTTAATGAAAAATGAAGGGAAGATGAAAAGAAGAGGAACTTGAAAAGTTTTTAAATAAATTACCTTATTAATTTTATTATTTAGATATATCTTTTTTTTCTAAAATATTATTTATTTAATCTATTTATTATTAATATAAAATATTATAATCCAACTAGTATGCTAATGTTGATGTATGAATTTAAGAACAATTCATAAGTCAAAATATTGTCTCCTAACACAAGTCCATTAAACATTACACAAGTTTTGCTATATTTATTTTTTTATTTTATTTTATTTTATTTTATTTTATGATAAAGAGTTTTTTTTAATCTATTGATACAAAATAAAGTTCAATAAATTTTCTCTATAAATAATTATAGTTGTGTGACATTTTGAGGTGTTAACTCCAATTTATTAAGATGACAATTATTTACCGTCAATAATTTATTTGAGAAAATAGTGAACATGACGGTAAAATTTTTATTCTCCTAGCTAGTTAAAATAATATATAAAAAATAATATTGCCTGTCAATTATCTACATTGACTCAATTACATGAAATAGAAAATCTCATAATACTTCAAGGAAGGGTATAATTAGAAAGAACTTTTTTTTGGTAGAGTTTTAAACTACACGAAAAACTAGGTAAGAAACAATGAACCAAACACTTGATAAAAATAATTCGTGCATTACTAAGGTTTTTTTTGTTTGCACTTAATGGAGGTATGAATTTTAATTATTCAGATTCAAAACTATCTAGTGCATTTGGTTTTTAGGTCTGAATCGAAATTATTCAGATTCAACCCATTAAGTCCATTTATTTTATTTTTCGAAAAGTCACTTAATGAGTCTGAAGAGGTCTGAACGAATCAGATTTGTAGGAGACTCTTAACAACATTCATACTCACCTAATAAGTTATCAAAGAATATAAATCATCGCTTCTCTACTTTGGGCGTACTTTTTTATCTCATAACTAAAAACTTTCTTTCTCTCTTTTCTCAATCAAACAATATTTTTCCCTCTTGAACTGGTAAGTTTTCATAAATCATTTCAAGTATTTTTTTTATATTAATAATTTTCTTGTATTGACGTTTGTCAAGAACAATGGTTGAAATAACATTTTTGGTGTATTTATGTCGATCAATGTTTTTGAATGAAAAATAGTAGCATGATTATTAAAACTTCTAAATTTTTTAATCAAAAGTAATATATTTTATTGAAATAAATTTTTTATAATATTTTATTAATATACTGTTCAATTTCACATGCACATTCAACAAACACTATTAATTATTTAGTGTTCACATTTAGAGACCCTTCTTAATATTCAGATGCGTATTCAGATCAAGACATATAAATCTTAATACAAATATTAATATTCAGATGTATATTTATATTCAAACCTTTTAATCTAATAGAAACAAATGAGGCCTAATACATGCATTACCAATCCCTGCATTATAATTTTTGCAATATTAATATATACATTTTTAATCTTTGTACCAAATGACCCCTTAGAGCACGTTCGACATTGCTGCTCAAACTGCTTAGTTTTATAAGTATTTTTTTAAAAAATAGTTTTTTTAAAAAATCTTTTATTTTCTATATTAATTAACCATTATATACTGATGTGTTCAGATAAATCAGATATATAGATTTAAAATATTTTAAATAATAAATTTTGAAGAGAAATAATTTCTATTCTTATGCGCGGTTAAATATGTAACTACAAAATGAGAATTTTTTTTTAGTATATTATAATATTTTGCTTGTAAATTTTTAATGATTTAACGTCTACTCAATCTCTGTTGCTTAACATGCATAGAGTTCATAATAAAATATAACATTATTTCTTTTGGATTTTATTGATTAATTGGAGAGATATCGAACTTTAATTTCTTCCTTTTTAAAGTATAATGTTAACTTCATGATCAATTTCTGCAAATGAAAATAAAAATTCTATATATAGAAATTTTTTATTACATAATATGAAATTGAAAAATTAAGGAAAAAAAAAAAGATATGAAAATACATTTGAATTTTGATCAAAATTATTATAATAATTTCAAATTTTGGACCTCTTGCATTATTTAATAGTGTATGTTAAAGATATATAACTACTCAGGCTTCAGCTGGACAAATTACTATTTATAATGATCGAATATTTATGATATTTATGTTAACACCTATATATATATCTTTAGAATATACTATTAAATAGTGTAAAATGTATAAATCCTCTATAAAATGTGAAATTATTACAATAATTTTAATCAAAATTTAAATAAATTTTGAACTATATTCCCAAAAATTAAAGGTGGTCCTCCATACATGATCAAGAAGTAAGTTTCAAAATGCTGCAATGGAATGTGTGGACCTTTAAAATTAATGTGGAACCTACCCTTTAATTGCTATTTAGTTCCTTGGATAAGTATACAAACATTATTAGGTCAAGTAACGTTTATTGTCATTGTATATTTATGTTATGTGTATTATATAATTATTTATGTCTAAATTATATTTAAATTATATATTTAATATAATAATAAAAACTACAAAGCTGACAATTTATTTTTAAATTATCAAATAAAAAGTGTACCCAAGCTAATATTTTTAAGAAAAAATTTCAGATTCGGAAATATGCGAACTTCCTGACTTTTTATCCACCAAATTTCTTCGAAAGTAATTGCATACATGCTTTCTCCAAAATATGATGTAATCTCCATAAATAGATCAAATTAAAAATATCATTGAATTCTAAATAATAATTCAACTACAAAACTTGATAATACATTTAAAAACAACTTATTTGGAGGTTTCCAAATAATTTTATATATATATATATATATATATATATATATATATATATATACTATAAT